TACTAGTGAACCTTTGTCTAGTCTAGACAACCATTATATCACAGTTACACATCAGTATATAAATGGAGTAACTTGGATACTGAAAATCATTTATCACCTTCGTGCTAACGTTTTAAACTAGAGTGAAAGAGGTAATATAAAAGATCTAATTAAAAAAGCACGAACTGCAGTTCTGATTGAAATTGAAACCAAAACTGGCATTCGGTTAGATCAGATGGATGCGACGGGTAATTCCGGTACTTCCACTACTGGCGGCCAAGGTCGAAGCTTCTTTTCCTTCGAACTGAGAAATGCTATTGTTGAAAGCGTTCTATCGAATTATCGAGACACTTTCAAAAAACTCGTGCAGTATTACTCTGTAATACTTCGTGTTATTTCGTCAACTGAAATAATTAATGTTGATAAATCTAAACAGCTGACGATGGACTTCGCAGTCTTAATAACAAAAGATTTTGGGGATGATTTCCACTCTGCTAAATTTTCAGACATTTAGAACATATATACAATAGTAATTATGTAATATTAACGATATTAAATTGCTTCTGGAATGCGACGGATAAAACAATTGGTGTATCAACATTTGTTAAAGCTAAATGTTCCAAAATATGTTCTAAAATGGATTAAAAGAACTGATATATTATTTGATATACAACAACGGTCATTAATAAGTATTATACGTAATATCGCTCACTACGAATTCGATGTGAAAATATTGAATAATTTGGAGGGTATATTTTTTGCTTTTGACTTCTAGAAACCATAAAATTATGCGTGTTTTTGCTCTTGGTTCCTGGAATTTTCATACTTTCGCAGCAGGGAGGTGTCACAGAAGTATAGAGTATGACTCTTCTCTGTTAATTATCTCTTCTAACGAGTAACCCTAAACATCGAACATAGAGAAGTGTAATCAATTCAATCATCGTAGCCAATCCTATGTGGTCGAAACCGGAAGAAAACTGAGGGTTGAGCACGGTTATTTTAAGAACTGACGGTTTCAACAACATGGGATTGTATTACGCTCAAATCGATAAAAACTACTCTCTAGAAAAAAGAACCAAAAAAGTGTCTTTCCATGCCGGGATACCCTTTTTAGAATCTTTGAGTAACAAATGCAGATACTCTCTTTTTTTTCGTTCTGTGGAATTAGGAATACCCTTAACTGTATTTTACAATGCCATTTTGGCATTTCGGTGTACCTTTTTTAGTTTTGTAAGATTTCTTTGAGAGTATTCCTCATTCCAGAGAACGTGACAAAAAGAGGGTATCTGCATTTGTTACTCAGAGATTCCAAAAAGGGATATCCCGAAATGAAAATACAGTTTTCGTTACGATACGAAAATTTTTTAGAGAGTAGACAATAAGTATATTGACCCTCATAATTGATGTTGATGAACAGGAGGTGCCAGAAGTGCAGAGAAGAGATAAAATTCAATAGCAACGAATATACAGCAGCTTAATTGTCTGCATGACCAACCTTCATATGACCGTTTTCGGTTTACCAAGCTTCAGAGATGTAAAGACAGTCTAAAACCTGAGTCTCGATCCTTGAGTACCCTAGAGCAGCGATTAGTTAACTGTTGTGAAATGACATGTAAATGCACTTAAAAAGAATTTGCCACAACTAACTCCAGGACAAAACCTTTTTAATTTTGTTCTCTTCTTTTTTTCTTCTTCTTCTTTTACTTTATCTTATAAAAGATAGATAGAAAAAGTAGCATGTCAAGCATACGCTTTATATTATAAACAAAGCCGATTATATTGTAGGATTTCTTACCCCATCCATGCACCTTTGTTCTATTTCTATTTTCTTTAACCGTTTTGTGATGATTAATGAAGAATAAGTCAAATCAGTAAAGTGTATTTTATCGTTTTTAACGTCAGTCAAAGGAAGAAGAAGAGTTCTAAAATTAAAAGAGTAGACTATCTATTGAATTCGCGATTAACTGAATGAAAATTCACAAGTGAAACAGGTTTGTCTATTGAAATTTAACTTTACTCAGCAGACTGTTCGCCAAATATCAAACGATTTACGCAAATCAAAATCAAAATTACAATTTACCAGAGAGTTTTGTGAGCTATACTTTTGGAAGAACTTGGATGTGTCAATCAGAGATTGCTTAGTCTTCATTCTTGGCCTATTTTATTACTTCGTTACCATTTTTGGGCTGAGTCTGCTAGATAGAATGGGTGAAAGCTGATTTTGAATGATTTAGATAGAACATCGATTATCCGAAATCGAAAATAATCAAAAATGTCTTACTCGAAGTGCAAAACGAAATTTTTCTTATGGCAAGATACTAAAGCGACGTAAGAGTTCAGATTACTTGCGTAAAGTGTAAAATGAAGTTAACATACAAAATAGTATAAAAATGTGGGATCCTATTTAATGTGGAGGGCTGAGAAGAACACCCATCAGAAAAAAAACAGACTTTAATTTTCTGGTGGCTCGGTTCGAGTTTTCGGGTAACTCGAAGCTCGGTGCATACCTAGTCCCAACTACTCTACTGATAAATCGACCATTTAACCGCAAAGATGATGCTACTCTAAAACTATAAATTGACTTTTCTGAAGAGGAAACGGACTTTTATTCACTGACAGATCAGTCTCTACTAAAAATGTCAGATCTCTGCAGTTATAAAAACATCATGCAAAGTGACTGCCTTTTGGTCTTTTTCAGTGAGAATGCACAAAGATCGAGACTTAGTCTAATGTTCTATTCTTGTAAGTCTACTTATATTAACCAGACGCTCTATTTTTTGTTGTATAATTATATTTTTTCCACTTTTTATTTTTCATTTAGACTCGAAATAAATAAAAAACAGTAATCAGTAATCATGACTACTAACAGTACATCGATTAATAATCTCTTATCGTCTATTCTCTATGTGACACCATTAATCAATTTTTATGCTGCATTTCCCTTTCTACTCTTTGGCACGATTGGTAATCTATTAACGATGATTGTCTTCACCCGCAAAACGTTACGCAGCAATCCGTGTGTAGTCTATCTATTAGCAACCACGATTCCGTGTACATTGGCATTATATTTTGCTTACATAGTGAAAATTAGTCAAAATTTAGGTTTTGACTTGACAACAAGACCGATATTTTGTAAATTGCGCATGTACATCGTTAATTCGTCACAGTTCACTTCGTCTTGGTTTATGATGTTAGCTTGTATTGACCGATATGCATCGAGCAGTAAATATGTCCATATACGAAATTTTAGTCGATTATCGATAGCTTATCGTTTGATACTAATTGTTACTTTGACTGGATGTTGCATTTACACCTATATATTGCATTGTTACGATTCTCATGTACCTAATTCACCGATTGTATGTTATATCCGTACCGATACCACATTTCCTTGTTACTTATTTGACAGTATCATATTTTTGACATTGTTCAGTACAATACCACCTGCTGGTATGACAATTTTTGGTGCATTGACACTTCTCAATATTCGCAAAAGATGTTTTCGTCAAATTGTACCTTTACCAACAATTGTTTCTAACGTTAATCGATCGAAGGCGCCTATGCAACAACTTGATCTGAAATTACTTTCAATGTTATTTGCACAAGTGCTTATGTTAATTTTGTCAACAATGCCATTGTCAATTTATAAAATCTATTCTGCAGCCACAGTGAATCTTATGAAGACTCAAATGAGACGAGTCATTGAGAATTTTCTATTTCAGCTTGTTCTCACCTTGAGTAATCTCAATAATGTTACGACATTTTATTGGTATTTATTGAGTGGACGCATTTTCCGAAAAGAACTCATGCAATTGTTTAAGCGACAAAACAAAATGACTGCTCGGAGGCTAACCATTCCCCGGTGAACTCGACGCCAAATTACTATTTTTGTGTTAATTTCGGACTCGAACCGAATTCGTTTTTAAAAACTATTCTTTAATGCCGATTCTAAAAATGACATTATTTTTCTCGAAACGTTGAATTTTGGTACAGGAAACAGCAAGATACGACTCGAATTTCATTGTTTTATCACTTTAATAAAATATAGTTTTTAATATACTTTTATTCGTACAATTATTATATTCAACAGTTAAACGTTTCGACATTTACCAACGTCTTCATCAGTAGCAACATAATAATTTTTAGAAAAACTTGTCTATGAACTCAAAATAACAAATGTTTGTAGTTCGATTATTTATATTTGTGCTGTATTCGTATTGGGAATCTAATAAATTTTTATGAATATTCTTTTTCACTGATTTTCCAAAATTGACTGAGAACCTCCTTACCATTCTGCTTGTGTTTCGCCAATTCTGAGTCTAATCCTTGCACATTTTCTTCTCTTCTTTTGTTTTATCGCATAAAACATAAATAGAAAAGTAGCATGTCAAACATACGCTTTATGTTATAAACAAAGCCGATTAAATTATGGGATTTCTAACTCCACTCATACACCTTTGTTGCATTTCTATTATCTTTAATCGTTTTGTGATGTTGTAAAATTAATGAAGGATAAGTCAAATCAGTAAAGCGGTGTTTTATCGTTTTTAACGTCAGTCAAAGTAAGAAAAAGGATTCTAAAATTAAAAGAGTAGACTTTCCATTGAATATACAGATGTTTGAGCGGCTCTAATATAACTGGCTGGTGGTCAAATTATTGTAAACCACTGTCTACGAAGCTAGATAATTGCTTTTTGATGTTTCTTATTTAGTTTTCTTTCTTTAAAACTAAATGTTGTTCACAAATAAGAGCCTTATTTTTATGCGTAGAGTACACATAGCCAAGCGTTTTCTCTCTTGAAAAGAAACAAATAAAAACTGACGCAAAGAAGCAAAAAAAAATATTTTAATTATAGCAGAATAATGAAGCTTAGACTTATATTTCCAACTTCTATTCAAAAATGTTGACTGTGAAGAATAAAAATTCTATTAATAATAAAAACTATTCATGAGTGAATAAATTACTTAGTTGCAGAGCACACAAAATGTTGCCTAAAAGGCCATGGAAAAGAAGAATATGTTTTTTTTTATCAATTGATTGGATTAAAAACACTGAAGAAAGAAAAGAAAAAGAGCTGCCTTCTTACTCAGTCATAGAAAGTGTTTTTAAGTTTAATTTTAATAACTCAAATTTTTAGTTACTCCTGCGGCCCAGCTATATCAAGCAGCATGTCATAATTAGCTCCCTAACTTGTCATACAAGTCTATCCTAGTCGAACATCTTGGAACCAAGATCTTGACATCTTAGATTTTTTCGAAAAGATCTTGGCAAGATCTTTGGTACAGGATGTCAAGATATTTTTGTTCCTAAGATCTTACCCATGATCTTGCGTAC